GAGGGAATCGAAACCACAACGGGAGAAGAACATGGGATAGACAGAAGATTGATGTGAGTAGTAATAATAAGGAGAATATCCCCGATCAAAGAACACGATTTAAATACAATGATTCATAGTTAGATGCAATGTGAAGAGATAAGATTTGCTTTAAGTGTAAGGCTTCGTGGTCACGTACAAATTTGAGTCCTCACAAATAGTTGAAAATTCTAACAATGGTTAATGGAAAGGAGATGGCGGTATTAAACTTGGATGTTGGTGACTAGGAAGAAGATGTTCAGGAGGCTGTGCAGACATTAACCACTTTATCTTTGAATTCTTTTCTCGGTGTTGATTCCCCTAGGACTACGAAACTTTGGGGCCGCATAAATCATGAGGAGGTAGTGGTTATGTTGGACATTGGAGCTTCACATAATTTTTTATCCCATGCGGTGGTGAGACGTTTGAGTTTGTCAGTGTCTTCGGATAGTGGTTTAGATGTATTGTTGGGTAATGGTGTGATGATTAAAGCAATGGGAGTGTGCAGAGAGTTTGCTTTTGGCTTGGGTTAATCAGAGTTTGTGTCTGATTTTATTGCTTTGGAACTTGGCAGTGTGGATGTGATACTTGGTGTGCAATGGTTGGAGACTTTGGGACGTTGTGAAGTGGGTTGGAAGCTGCAAGAGTTGTCATTCATGTATCACAGGAAGAGAGTGACTTTGTGGGAAGATCCGAGCTTACACGGTACAAAGTTATCTATGAAAACTTTGTCTCCAATGTTTACATGTGATAAGAAGAGGAATATGGTGGCCTTAGCATCCTTGGGAGGCACGGCTAATGAGTTGGCGGGAGAGATATTTTTGTCGAGTTTATTGGAGCAGTTTTCTGAAGTGTTTGCTGTACCTACTGGTTTACCCCCGTATAGAGGACAGGAACATGCTATAACTCTGGTAGCTAGAGTCACGGCTATCTATGTTCCCCCTTATCGTTATCCACATGCTAGGAAGGTGGTGATGGAATCTATGGCTCAAGAGATGTTGGATTCCGGTATTATCAGACCCAGTGTGAGTCTCTTTTCGAGCCATGTACTTGTGGTGACGAAAAAAGATGGTAGTTTTCGCTTTTATGTAGATTACATGGCATTGAATAAGACAATGGTTCCTGATAAATACCCCATCCATGTTATTGACCAACTTCTTGACGAGTTACATGGTGCTGCAGTGTTCTCTAAGCTGGATTTGTGTTATGGGTATCACCAGATAAGGATGGTAGAAGAAGACGTGAAGAAAACAGCTTTCAGAACTGTAGAAGGGCATTACAAATTTCTGGTGATACCTTTTGGTTTGACGAATATAGGCATTTTATTAAAGATTATGAATTGATGGCACGACCTTTGACTTTTTTGTTGAAGACAGATCAGTTTGTGTGGGGAATAGAAGCTCAACAATCATTTGAGAGGCTGAAAGAATCAATGGTCAAGGCTCTTGTGTTAACTCTTCCTGACTTCTCACAAAAGTTTGTTGCTGAATCGGATGCTTCAGGGGTGGGTGTAGGTGTTGTGTTGATGCAGAACAACAAACCTATAGCCTACTTCAGTCATGCTTTAACAACTCGTGAGCAGTTGAAACCAACCTATGAACGTGAGTTGATGGCAGTTGTGATGGCGGTTCGTAAGTGGAAACACTATCTTTTGGGAAAGCATTTTCTTGTGCATACGGATCATAAAAGTATTAAGTATTTACTCGAGCAAAATGAGATTAATATGGAGTGTCAGAGATGGTTGACGAGGCTTTTAGAATTTGATTGTGACATACTTTACAAACCTGGTTGTGAAGATAAGGCGGCAGATGGTTTATCTCGTAGTATGTATGTATGTGGTTTATCTCCTCAATTTGGTTGTTCATATGGCGTTGCAGTGGCAGAATCTATATAGAGAGATTGAGGAGGATGATCACATACAGAAGCTGAAATTGCAGTGTGAAAAAAGGGGAGCTGAGTTCGAAGAAGTATCAGATTATTGATGGGAAGCTCTGGTCCAAGAAGAGGTTGTTATACGAAAAACGTCTCAGTTTATTCCCTTGATTATTTTTGAATGCCATGTTAGCAAGGTGAGTGGTCACTCAGGGGTTTTTTGAAGACTATGTAGAGAATTCAACAGTCTTTTGTGTGGGAAGGTTTACAAGACAAGTTCATGATATGTAGCTGAATGCCAAGTCTGCCAGACGCATAAGCATTCTACGTTATTCTATGCTGGCTAGTTACAACCTTTGCGAGTACCTAACCGAGTTTGGGAAGACATCAGCCTTGATTTCATTGAGGGATTACCGTTGTCTGGAAGTGTAAATGTCATTCTGGTGGTGGTTGACAGACTTAGTAAGTACTGTCATTTTCTGAGTCAGAAACATCCGTTTACTTCTGCTGATGTTGCGATGAAGTTTGTGCAAGAGATTGTACTTTTACATGGGTTTCCTCAAAGTGTGGTGTCAGACTGTGATCGTTTGTTCTTAAGTTCCTTCTGGAAATAGATTTTTTGCCTTGCTGGAACTCAGTTGAAGTATAGTACTTCATTTCATCCTCAAACGGACGGGTCAGACTGAAGTGGTGAATCGTTGTTTAGAAACCTATTTCCTTTGTTTCTCTTCTGCACATCCTAGGACGTGGTCACAATTCTTGTGTTGGGCAGAGCATTGGTTCAATACATCTTATCACACATCGTTAAAGACGTCTCCATTTGTGGAAGTGTAGAGATCCTCCTGGTTTAATTCCTGATGAAGAGATGTTGAACCAACTGAAGACGTATTTGGAACAAGTACAATACTTGATGAAGATGAAATGAAATTTGCAATTAATGACATGGTGTACATGAAATTGAAACCATATAGTCAGAAGTCGGTTGTGAAGAGGTTTTATCAGAAACTTTATGCGAAGTTTTATGGCCCTTATCGTGTGTTGGAAAGGTTGCCTATAAACTGCAGTTACCTCCAGAGTCTCATGTTCATGATGTTTTTCACGTTTCACAATTGAACGAGCTCTAGGGAATCATGACGTTGTGAGTGACTTACCTCCGGTTTGTTTTTCTGAGGCTGAAGCACCATTAGAACCGGGGGATGTGTTAGCTAAGAGGTATGATGCTAAAGGGCTGTTGGAGTTGTTGGTTAAGTGGAAGGGTAGATCATCTTCTGATGATTCTTGGATGGCATATAAAGAGTTTGTGGAGAGTTTTCCTTCTTACGAGCTTGAGGGCAAGCTCGGTTTCGATGGTAGCGGTATTGATAAATATCGACATGCTTATTATAGGAAGAAGAGAAAGCAAGATAAGTTGATGGAAGTTAAGAATGTAGAGGATGATTGGGAGAGTTTCTGTTGGATTTAAATGAGAGAGAGGGAATGAAAAACTTGGAGAGAAATGGAGGGTTTGAGAAAGATGCTGAGAAGTAAAGACTTAGAGAGAGACATAAGGTTTGTGGTTAAAGTGGAGAGCTTTGCCGTTGACGATTTGAATAAATAGTTGTTGAGTTGTTCATTTTCTTTTCATGCTTTGTTGTTATTTGTATTTGGCGATATGAGTCGATACTATACAGTCGCTATGAAACTGATGATTTTTGCAATTCTCACCATGAGAGTTTTGTAGATCTCATACGCAAAGTTTATGCACTTCTCATTAAGTTTATAAAAGAGAGTTTACAAAGTTTACAGAGAGTTCTTTCACTTCTAGATAACTAAAGCTTATCAATGAACCACAACCAAACTCACGACCCAAGTAATAATACTTATTACAATTTGGTCTAAGCCAAACCTCTTTAAAGCCAAACCAATGGTCAGGAAAATACACAATTGAGGTGTATATTTATCATAGAGCAGAAGTTCAGATATTATTTTGACAAAAAAATCAATATATATGATAACTAAAAACTACTATTTCTCTTAGGCCTCAATTGGTACAACAGATGATAAAGCATTATGCTGCAGAAGCAGTATGTTGCAGAAGCAGTATGCTGCAGAAGCAGTATGCTGCAGAAACTTTATGATTTCCTTAAAGAAAGTTTTTAATAAAACGATTGGCAGAGCATTAGCAGTATACAATTTTAAAGTTTTCATAATAGTTAGTAAAATAATATATTTCTTTTTAAAAATATATATATTTATAATATATATTTTTATTAAAAAATAATGCATTTTATTCATTATATAAATTATATTTAAAACTGTAAAGTTTATTTTAATAATATTAAATTATTTTTGGATATAAACATATTTTGATATTATTAGATAAAGAAATTAATTAATTATAATTTATATAGAAATTAATTATAATCTATATATAAATTATTATTATTTATTTATTGGTAGAGCAGTAAATGATTCATATATAAACTTATCATAAAAATTCATATATAATTTATCATAAAAATTCATATATAATTTATTGATTAGTGCCTAAATAATATGTTTATATCGATAATATATAAATATATGTTATGTTATGTTATGTTTGTTATTAAAAATAATGAATGATATATTTAATTATATAAATTATATATTTTTTTAAATGTGAAATATTGTTCTTTTAAAAAAATTATAATTTTATTCTTTAAATTATAAATTTATATTTAATTATAAAAATATATTTTATATTACTAAACAAAAATAAATTAATTATATACAATTATTATTAAGTTTTATATTTTATATCCGTAAATGTTTTCTCAAAAGCTCTATATGGGAGCATTGAACAAAAAGGATTTGGAGAGCATTTGTATTTGGTAAATGTTTTTCGAAATGTTTCTTTGTCAAATATTGATTAGATAATAGAGGCTACGAATCAACACCTTAGTAGTGTGAAAAAAAAATTTAGTCATTTTACACATTATTAACAACAAAAACAGTGAGATTGAATTCAATCAAACACGTTAAAGAAAACGTTGTTTCATATTTCATTATACAGAAACATAAGACTTCGTAGTTTCACAAAACATTTACAGCATGAAATGGTTCATAACTTCATATTGCAAAAGTTACTAAGTCTATCTTCTTTACGTCTCTGCATACTAATCGTATCAAAGAGACAAAAGGCTGAAACGATACTGAAACAAAGTTAAAGTTAAAAAGCACTAATAATTACAACCTCAACGAACTCATCATTATCAGTGCCCCCAGGTCCACCACACACATGAGAAAAAAAAAGAAGGAAAACAAAAATTAAAAAAAGACTAATTAACGACCTCAACTCTAATTCCCCGCCATATTCTTAAACTAACATTTAAACACCAAACATTTCACATTTAGAGAGAGTAAGACATCAGCAAACGCCGCGTTTCATACCATCGTTCACACTAGTTAGTGAACCTCTCGAGCCTCCTTACATCCATGAGTCTACTCAACCTGATCCGAACCCGATTGGCGCAACTCCTGGATCCTCCTCACCACCTCCACCATCACTGGCCTCTTGTCAGGGTGCTGCTCCGTACACTCAATCCCCAGCTGCAGCATCTCCCCCATCTCTCCTTCCACCACCGTCTCCATACTCATCAGCTCCGAGTCAAAAACATCACTCCTCCACTCCTCTCTCCCCACCGAATGCACCCACCTCGCCAAGTCCATCCCTTCCTCATTCATCACCGAGTTAGACGGCGCTTTCCCCGTGAGCAGCTCTAGCAACACCACACCAAAGCTGTACACATCCGCCTTCTGCGAGACACGCCTAGGATCAGTTACTTCCGGGGCACGGTATCCAGTAACCCGGTTTGTGTTTGTGGTAGAAGAGCCGACGAGCTGAGCCAGGCCGAAGTCAGAGACTCGTGCATCGTGGGAGTTTGTTAAAAGGATGTTGGAAGACTTCACGTTCCCGTGAGAACTTAACGGGTCTTGTGAGTGTAGATAGTCTAGTCCACGAGCTGCTCCAAGGGCGATACGTGACCGGACTTCCCAGTCTAGTGGACTCCTTCCTGCACCTTTGTTTCCTGTAACATAACAATAACAATAACATTAAGCACAACACAGACAAAATCTATTCTCTGAAACAAGAACAAACATCCATCCCCATTTTATTCACAGAATCATTAACAAACCACTTCCTGTCTTAAGCAGAGGAAGAGATATATAAGACTCTTACCGTGTAAGAGAGCAGACAAGCTTCCCATAGGCATGAAGTCATACACAAGCAACTTCTCATCTCCACTGTAATAATAAGCTCTCAACGGAACCAAATTCTCATGATCCATCGCCCCAACAACCTCAATCTTCTCCTTAAACTCTCTATCCGCCATCGTCACATCCTTCAGCCGCTTCACAGCCACCAGCGTCACCGCATCAAGCACCGCCTTATACGCCGTGCCAAAAGTCCCCTTCCCCAAAACCTCCGCAGAAGCTCTCAACAGATCCTCCAACTCAAAAACCTTCGTAGCATTCCCAAAGAACACTAACTTCCTCGTCCCTGAGCTGTTTACTTCCGCGGGAACCACAGCCCCCGCCGCCGCCTCCTCCGTCACTTCCACCGCAGCTTTCTCCCCGGGAACTTCTACATCAAGCTGCTTCATGGTTGTTCCAATATCTACCTCCCTTGTCCTCTCTCTCCCCTTCTTCCCAAAGAGAGCCATCAGAACCATCACAATTACAAAGAACAAAACCACAGAACCAATCACTATCCCAGCAATCACTCCACCTGAAAGCTTCCCTTTTTCTTTCTTCACATCAATGTTTCCGACAGAGATAGGCTGACTTGGCACAGTTCCTTCATTCTTACAAACATCAAGCGGCTTCCCACAAAGCAAAGTCCCGACAAAAGAGCCAGACTCAAACTTCTGAAGACTCTTAGGTATACTTCCGTTCAAAAAGTTATTATTAGAGACATTAAACTGATCCAAATCCAAATCCAAATCTAGTAAATTCCCAGAGAGCTTATTATTCTCTAAATACAAAGTCTTAAGCCTCGTGAGATTCCTAAACCCTAAAGAGATCTCTCCTGAGAAACCATTACCTCCAAGATTCAGTCTCACGAGGTTACTGAGACTGAACAGAACCTCAGGTATCTCACCGGAGAATCTGTTCCCTTGGAGGTAAAGTCTCCGGAGGTCGGAGCAGCTTCCGAGATCTAAAGGGAGTGTTCCGGTTAGGGCGTTGAGACGGAGGCTGAGGGTTCGGAGTTGAGTTAAGTTACCGAAAATACCCTCGGGGATTTGGCCGGAGAGAGCGACGCCGGGGAGGTGGAGAGCGGTTACGCGGTTGGAGGAGGAGTCGCAGGAGACGCCGGTCCAGTTGCATGGTGTGGAGTGTTTGGTGTTCCAGAGGAGTGTGCGGCCGCCGAGGGAGGACCGGAGGGAGAGGAGGGCGGATTTGTCGGAGGAGAGGTCTTGGAGTGAGGAGAGAGGTAGAGAGAAGAGGAGAATGGAGAGGAGGAGGGAGAGAGACGCCATTGATGGGAAGAGAGAAACCCTAAGAAAGAAAAGCTATGAAGAAGGAAAGAGTGTAGTGAAGGTAGTAAGTAGTCAACACTTATCAGTCAATCTCTATTTTTCTTCCCGTTTTTTTCTTTAATTTGCTTTTTTTTTGAATATTTAATTTTTATAGAGTTTCGGAATGTGACAAAAAGGACACGTCTAATAGGACAGTGACATATGTCGTGCTGTGTTTGGTCGAAAATATGTGATGGTAATGGATCATGTTGTAGTATCCTATGTACATGTTTAGCAGTATTTTGTCTTTATCTAACCTGCATCTTAGTCTTTTAACACCATTTTCAAAGTAAGAAAAAGGAAAAAAAATCGTCCAAAATAGAGATGAATTCATTCCCATTTCTATACACAGAAATGAGTTGGAAATGCTTTATAGTTACTTAAACTGCTACAATGTATCGATGTATTAATATTTTAATCATCATTACTGGATTATAAAAATGTTTGTGTATAATTAACATGAATATTTTAGCAAGTGGATGAGTATAGTTGGGAGCAGATATTAAACAAATACATGAGAAATGGAATCCAAAAAAGTTTAGTAATTAAAAGGCGTGTTAAGAACATCATGAAATTCCTTGCATCTGAGTAAAGTGGAGCCCTCTTCTCAAGATGCACCTAGTTCTATGTTTTTCCTTCATTAATAAAAACAAAAGAATCATATTTATATAAAATTGATTTTGCATAGTTGTAAAGGAAAAATAGAACATGGGTGTGTATAGTAAGTAGGACCATAACATGTAGAAAAGGCAAGACCAATAATTTACAGCATTAAATAGATTTTACCAAAACACATTCTGTATTATGTCATCGTCTCCACTCTCCACTCTGAATTATCCAATCAAAAGGGTCCCATTAATATTCTGTTTAAATACAAGGTCATATTTTTAGTAAACAATAAAAATTAAAACATTTAAATGTCACGATGTTCACAAATCACAATGACATAAAAACAAGGATAGTTGAGCGTTACACTTCGGAAGACAATGGCTACAGTTATCGAGAACTGTTAGCACCGACTAGTTTCAGTTCAAAGGACTAATACAAGTTCAGAGTTCGATATGGTTTTTCTTGGGAAAGAGTTGGTCAAGTAAAAACATTTGTTTTATCAGAACTCTTTAACCATAAAATAATGATAAAACAGAGTACATCCAAGATCTCTATGTTTTTCTGTAACAAACAAGTTCAACCTATAAACTAGAGTTGTATAGCAATGAATGGACTTTCAAAGTCATGTTTATCTGGCTAAAGTTCTCTGTTTACTTGGGTCCGAAGCTTTCCATCTGAGTCTAGAGGGTTTTGACGAAATTAGGATTCTTTCTTTTCTTTCAAGCGATTACCCTTTTTCTGAACCAATGCAACAGCAGAGGTTATAACGCATAGAGCCAAGAACGTGAAGACAGTTGAAGTCTCTGCCACTTTCATTCTTTGTAGTGGCACTGATGAGTTCAAGCTCATTGTCCCAAACTTGGTTCTTGAATCTTCAGGTCTACGAACAAAACGTGACATATATACCAAAATTCATAGATAAGACAACTATGTTGTGTCCTTTGATGAACTGCTGAGAAAAGTTTCATGAATTTACCTTATGAAACTCTTCATTTTATGCCACAAAGACGGTTCTTTTCTGGACTCCGAGTCAAATCTCCGCTCCTCTTGACGAGTTTCTACAAATAAGGATTTTTTTTTTGTTCAAACTATTAATTCTTGAAATAGATTTCAATTTGCGCAAGTGAGGGTTGTACCACCAGTACTACTGCTAGATTTTCTAAGCGATGAAAATTCCTCTACCAACTTGCGCTCCCTCTCGCTGCAGTTGACATTGTTTTAGACATTGTCTCAAGCAAACCATGACAGAGAGGGATACAAGGAAAGTGATGTGACACAAACCTTAGGTTTCTTGGGATCAAAACCTTCACTACAAAGCAATGATCACCTCTAACTGAAGGTCTATCAGTGTCTGGAACTCCTTTCCTATATAATTTCACAGTGTCGCCTGGCTGAGTTCCAGGGGGAATCCGGAGATCCATTGTTCCCTCAACTGTTTCTACCTGAAAAAAAAGAAAGATGTCATAACGACATGATTCTCACTAGCGAGTAACAACAAGCAACAAACGAGTTTAAAACTACCTTTGTGTTAGTCCCAAGTATTGCATCTGTGAAATCGATGCTGATCTTGGAGTATAGATTAAGTCCTTCTCTCCGGATCCCACGCTTCTCAGCAACTTGAAGAACGATGAACAGGTCTCCCGCTCGTCCACTATGGAAGTTAAAAACCATATTAAGAAACAAAACAGTTGCCAAAAGACTAAATATCAGGAACCGTAAAAGGCTGATTCTCATGTACCTTCTCTTGTCCACGTTACCTTCTCCTCGAATACGCATTGTGGCTCTGTCACTAACACCAGGAGGTACAACAACATCCATCTTTTTGCTAGACCGTAGTCTCCCGTTGCCATTGCACATTCGACATTTATCAGTAATGATTTTTCCATCACCACCACATTTAGAGCAAGTGGAGACCTATATGTATATCACACGTGTTATCAATCATCTATAGCACAAGTCAAGGGAAATGAAAGTTTCAATTATAGGAATAGCAGGTGATCAGAATAGTATTTAGTTACCTGAGACATGATTCCAAAGGGTGTTCTCTGAGTGTCCATGACACGCCCTTTACCACCACAATTGCTACACTGTTTAACGTCCTTACTAGACTTAGCACCTGTTCCTCCACAGCCATCACACGTTGCTAAATAAGAAACATCAATCTCACGCTTTACTCCAAAAACAGATTCTTCAAAGCTCAACCGCATATCATACCTAATATACATGCACCCAAAGGTCATGAGACAAAGTGTTTTCCCTTATTCTCAAGTAAAGAAAACACATTGGGCAAGCAAACAGATGAGGCCGAAACAAGAGCCTAGCAGAAGGGATAACGTGAGTCGCTAATTTCCTAACGCTAACTATCACCCAAGGGATACAGTAATCAAATGCTAACCATAATCTGAAATCAAAACGTGAATAATATATTTACCGAATGTCAAGGTCAAGGCTTCTCTTATTTATGAAATCAAAACCCATCCCTCCTGAGTCACCCATATCTCCAAAGAATCCATCAGAACCACCTCCAAAGAATGCACTATACAGATCAAAAGGATCCACCTGAACAATGAGAAACAAAAAATAATCAAAAAGGTTACTTTTCAATCAAAAAAACATTTGAGATCAGTAAAAAAAGACTTACTCCTTGAGAAGTATCCTGATCAGCATTGAAACTTCCATCTAAACCAGCCTCTCCAAAGCGATCATAAGCGGTTCTCTTCTCCTCATCAGATAAAACCTACAAGAACGCTTCATTTCCACTTGCAATAAGCAAAAAAAACGACGAATCAGATTGAATGGAAAAGGAGAGGACTTGGGGGTTACCTCGTAAGCAGCACTAATCTGTTTGAACTTATCTTCAGCTCCAGGGTTCTTATTCATATCCGGATGATACTGTTTTACACACACTCTAAACCTCTTTAAATCCTTAAATCCAAGAAAACAATAAAGAGTAAAGAGTAGTGAGAATGTGGAAGAGTAACCTTGCGAGCGAGATTTCTATAAGCGCTTTTAATCTCCTTCAACGTGGCGTTTCGGCCGACATTCAGAGTTGCATAGTGATCCTTCCCGGCGGCGGCCATGGTGACCAAACGGCGGCGGCTTTCGCATCTCCGAAAACGCAGAAAACTGGGAAGTGAAGGGAACGAAGGATTAGATTGAGGAAACTGATGACGGAAGCTGTGAGCTGGGTTTATAGATGGAATTAAAGTACAGCGAGCCATTTCATCTCCCTGGAGCTGGAGCTGGAGCTTAGCTTCTTCCTTAATTTCAGACAAGAGGGTTTTAACGTGGGTTTTGTTTGTTGAATGGTGGTCATCTATTCTACACGGCAACACTTGGGCTTAGAGCTTAGATAGAATCTTCTGGCTCATTTCGAAACGACGACATCAGTTTTTTTTTTAATGTTTTGGGGCGAACCACTTTGAAAACTAAATTGCCCAATAGACGGCCTTCTTAAAATTATTAGAACGACTCCTTTTTTTTTTTTTAACATTCGTTTATCCTTTTATGATTGTTCATAGGTCTGGGCGTTCGGGTACCCATATGAGTTTGGTTCGAATATTTCGGATATCGGTTCTTTTCTGTAACACCTCCTACGTCCCATTTTAGGAAATTCGTATATTCGAATCCAGATCGGATATAACACATCGATTTCGGTTTGGGTTCGGATTATACTAAAGTAACCATATATCATATGGGTTCGGGTTTTACTGTATCGGTTTCAGATTAACTGAAATAAAGTTCAAAGAAAATACTCTGCTTACTGCTTATTTCAATGCTAATGCACAAATATTATGATATAAGACTAAAAGATCGACTGCAAGAACAGACCATAAGCTCAAATGTTATGATATAAGACTAAAAGATCGACTGCAAGAAAAGACCATAAACACAAATAAATTAGTAAGATTTCAGACTTAGTAACAAAGAGAGACAGTTTTGTCTACAAGAACAGACCATAAGCTCGATTAGCAACTCAAATAACTTAGTAAAAATTCAGACTTAGTAAAAAAGTCTGCAACAACACTCAATACCGAATAGCAAGTAGCAACACAAAGTTTTGAAATGAAAAACAAACTGAGACATAACAGAAAGTTTCAATCTCTCAAGCCGCAAAAGAAACATAAGAAAACATCAAAAATAAAACTTAAAATAACATAGACTACATTGTAGAACTCGAACCAGCTTGTGGCAAAGATCTTGGTGATATTCTTGAAGAATTTACTCATGTGCAGCCAGTAATTCCTCTACTACATAGACAAAGTGAGACAGTTCAATAAACAAACCAAATTTAAGATCAAAGATAAAGAGAGACACTTCAATAAACAAACCAAGTTCAATAAATAAACAAACCAAATTCAATAAACAACAAAGTTCCAAAGACAAAGAGAGATCAAAGACATACCTCTTTCGATTTTTTCTTGCTCTTCAATGTCCTCAAGGATTTGTTCATTTGTAAGCACCCTTGACTCACAATGGATGTCTTGCTTCAACCATTGCTCGGTACACATCAGTACCTCAACCATGAAGTGAGTAAGGCAGCTCCTAAATGGGTCTATGATCCTTCCACCTGTGCTGAATGCACTCTCCGATGCAATAGAGGAAACCTGCATTGCAAGGACATCCTTTGCAATCTGTGACAATATTGGGAACTTGGTACAGTTTCTCCTCCAGAAAGATAGAACATAATACTCTATACCAACCATAAAATCTGGATTCTCAACTCCTTCTTTCAAGTACATATCTAGTTCATCACGCTTCTCTTTCACTCCAATCTCCTTTAGCATTGACTTGTACCTTCTGTCTATCCTCTTATAACCTATACCATCATCAACCAACTCTGGTGTTATAATGGACAATTCTCGAGAACACTAAGATGATTGAGTGTTACTGGTAGTAGCTTTATCGGTCTGGCCACTTGATGCTCTCCCATGTTTTTCACTGTATTCTTTAAACAAACTCCGCAACACACTTATCACAAAATCATGCATCTCTTTTGTTTCCAAGTTGTCCTTCCCATAAAGCTCGTCAAAACACATGTCCGCAAGCACCATCTTCTTTGTTGGATCAAAAACAGTTGCCAGAATCAACATCTTGTTGATGTTCTTCAATCCATCCCAATACTTGTCAAACTTCTTAAACATCTCCTCTGCCTTATTCATCAGTTCATGATCCATGCTTTCACTCAATGCCATGAGGTTAGTGGAAATGGTCACAATCTCTTCGTAACACCTGTTAAAGATGTAAAGAGTTTCTGATTATTTACAGCAACATTAACAATGAGAGAGCTCTAGGTTAGAATGCAATAAGTGAAGTTTCTGTAATAGTTATTACCTGTAAGCATTGCAAGTTGTAGACACAGACAAAACTAAGGTGGAGTTGTAGAAGATCACTAGAAATCTGCATAGTCTTTCTATGGATTTCCAGTCATGGTACTGCGGAGGTTCTTCCCTCTTTTTTCCTTTCTCCACCTCTAAGAAATGATCGTTATATAGCATATCTTCTGCGGGAAAATGGTCATTTAATTCCCCATGTATTTGAAATTGACTTATAAATTCCTCAACTATCACATGTGCAAAATAATTCCCCAAATCTGTATTGACTTTGCAAAATTGAACCCTTGAAAAGTCCACGTCGAACAGTTAATGGAAAAACATTAAAATCTATAGTTTTGTGAGATTTTAATTATCTTCTTCTTCCTTTTTCTTCTAATTTGAAAACCAGAAAAAGTGATTGCAGAGGTAATTTACTGTGAGTCCTTCTAAGAAAAAAAAAATTCAAATAATTTGACCATGAAGAACAAAAATCATTGCTCAGAAACGGACGACCCCATGGAGAAGATGATGTAACACTTTATGTTTCTCTGGTCAAATTATTTTGATTTATCTAAAAATCTCACAAATTTCTCTTAAATAGTTAACAATGAGTCATTTTCGTTCTTAGGTTCGTATAAACCTGACGAAAGAGAGGCGTGAAATGTTCGTAAAGGGAGATGTGTATGTCTGCTTCTCTTCTTTCATTAGCTCAATTTTTTTATTTTGAAAGTTGGTAAATGTTGTTAACATGTAAATTCGGTTCTTGTGCAAGAGACATGGTGTTCTTGTGTTAGTGAATGACTGTGATCGGGAGCTAAGCCGTCAAGCTCGAGACCACAATTGAAGAGAAAGATGTTATCGTTTTCATCTCGATCTGCACAATGGAAAAAGTAGTTCTTCATCAAACAGTTATCTATCTATGTTCTTAACTTCTATTAATTATCTCTGCAACTACAGAACCTAGAGTGGTTGTGTTCCTTGAATAATGACTATATAGTTATCTTGTTAAGAAGAATAGAAACCGATAAATGTGTCAATCTCTGTAATTTACACAGAGCTAATACAATATATGTTCTCAAAGGAATCAGAAAAAAATACTGATATCAGAAAAACATAGCATGACACCAGTTGGTTTGAGTTTGGTGGGAACATTTGTTTACATATTGCTTATATTAGAATATTTAAAAATATATATTTGTTGGTGATCTTTGACAAACTCTGCTCAATCGGTAGCTCACAAGCCTTTTGGGTACACACTTGAGCAGAAGTAAGCTTAATCACATATGGTAAAATAGAGACTTAAGTAACCAGCATCAACTCAGTTGCAGCTGCAGAGTCAGGTCCATCGTTGTTAACTCTCAATATGTTAACTTCACGCGACACTTGTTGTGCAAATTCATTCAGCTTCTCTAATGAACCTTGTTTGAAAATTAACTATATTTTCAATCGTTTGAAACTTGAAACCATCCACAAGGGTACATGTGAATGTGATCTTCCTTAACCATGAACCACTGCATATCTTCCTTAGAGAAAACCCAGGCATTCAAGAGTTTTAATTTTGAAGGATTGATGTAGATCTTGTGACGTAGCATACGTTCAACCTCCAAGAACAGCATGTCCTTTCCTCTCAACAGAGAATAGAGAAAATAATTCAGATTCATCAATAAGTTTGTGTTAACATGATATACGAATTTAGAAACACAAGAGAGAACGTATTACCTATTGTGTATCTTCTCTCTAATCGTTTTCTGGATCAATTTAGGGTTTATGTTGCTTGATTTGGGGAAGAAGAAGACATAAAAATCGAATAAACAAAATATTTAACGTTTTCCGTTAACTGTTCGAGGTGGACTTTTCAAGGGTTTAATTTTGCTACGTCAATGCCGATTTGGGGAATTATTTTGCACATGTGATAGTTGGGGATTTTATATGTCAATTTCAAATACATGGGGAATAAAATGATCATTTTCCCTATCTTCTGCCTCCATTTTATCAAATGCAACTCTGAACTTCAATGTTGTATTCAACATCAGATATGTGGAGTTCCACCTGGTAGTGACATCTAAAGGCAGACTTCCTCTAGTTAGTCTACCCGAATCTACTTTCTGCTCAAACGATGATATTCTATTCCCTGAAGATCTAACATAGACAACAGCATTACGAACTTCAGCCACATTCTCATTTGCATCAGCCATACCATCCTTCACTATCAAATTAATGATGTGTGCACTACATCTCAAATGCATAAACTCCCCATGTAAAACTAAAGCATCTGGAGACTGTGAAGAGAATGCAGCCTGAAACCTTCTCAAAGCAGATGAATTCGCAGTAGCATTGTCAACAGTTGCACATAACAGTTTGTTGATTCCCCAATCAGCTAAGACCTCTAATAGAACTCTAGAGATTGTCTGAACTTTGTGATCGATAACATGCTTGAAACCGATAATGAGCTTCTTCAGGCGCCAAGAAGAATCAATGTAATGTGCAGTCACCACCATGTAGCTTGCACCTGTGAATAAGATCAAACACATTAAGATCAAACACATTAAGATCAAACACATTGAGATCACTTCGAAATTAAAAACAACAAAGACATAAGATCAAAAAGATAAAGATCAATTTGATATTTTAAAAAATAAACAGAGACATGAGATCAACTTCAAACACATAGAGATCAATTCGAATTTTTTATAAAAAAAAACAGAGACATAAGATCAAACTTCAGACACATAAAGATCAATTCGAAATTAAAAAAAAAAAAAAAACAGAGACATAAGATCCAACTACACATAAAGATCAATTCCAAATTTTGAAAAATCAGAGATATAAGATCTTAGGGGTTACTTGAGCGACCCAAATATCAGTAGTGATTGATACTCTTTGCTTGTTTGCTTTAAACCACTTCCTCATAGCAGTTTTCCTTTGCAAAAACATCTTTACAA